CCTCCTTCGACAGCCAGGACTTCCTCCAGGTACCACCAGGGTGTCCATGTGCCGCTGCCCCGCAGTGGGGCACCCATCTTGACCGTGGCCGTGGGCGCGTGGAGCTTGTCGCCTGCCCGGCCGTGGCAGCCCGCAGCCGGGGATGCTCTGACGTCAGCCGCCAGCCAGGCTGTATCCTGGGAGAAATCAGTCCACGGTGCCTCGTTGCCATGGCAATGCAATTTGTTGCGCTCCTCCAAAATCCCTCATCTCTTCCCCCGTGACCATGGGCTGGGGCACGGCGTGGCCAGGATGGGACATGGGGACGTTGTGGCACGGTGGGTGCTGCAGGGGAGCGCGGCCGTCTTGGCCTTGCACGTGTACACACGTGTGTGCGCGTGCACAAGGTGGGGGGGGACATTTGGTGGCACAAGGGATGCACACGTGTGTGCATGTGCGCGCATGTGCAGGTACATGTGTGTGTACAGCGAGTGCACGTGTGTGCGGTGCATGCACTCATGGAGTGCACACAGCGAGCACACATGTGCAGTGAGTCCATGTGTGTGCACACTGGGGACGGGCACATCTGCAGCAAGCGGGCATGCGTGTGAGCGTGCAGCGAAAGTGCGCGTGTGTTTGTGGTCAGTGCACACGTACGTGTGGTTACGTGCGTGGGCGTGCACAGGTATATGACCACTGAGTGTGTCTGCATGTGCACACGTGTGCATGCGTGTGTGAGCGTGCACAGCATGTGTGCACACACAGTAGCAGTGCGTGGGTGTGCTAAGGGTGTGGGAGTGTGCACACAGGCGTGGGTGTGCGTGAACCTACTGCCCAGCGTGGAGCAGCTGTGACAGTGACAGGGGCAGTGGGTGGGCAGGGTGGCGGGGGGCTGTGACACCCCTGCCCACTCTGGCAGGTCAATGTTGAGGACACTGTCGAGATGCTGCCCAAGTCGCGGCGCGCGCTGACCATCCAGGAGATCGCTGCCCTGGCCCGTTCCTCGCTGCACGGTAACTGCTTGTAGGGGGGCCAGGGGGGCATCTGGGGAAGGGGGGTCTCCTATGG